CAACGGACAACACCTCAAAGCTGGCATGTTATTGTCATTGAGGGTTATTGCAAGAGATGTTAGTTGTCCAGCGACTACCAGCCGATGTCTAGAAAACCTCAGCAAACCAATGACATCAAGGAGCGTTCGTGACGACCACAAGTCACAACTCCTTGGGACGATACAGAATCACAAAACTTCATCCGTTTTTGTCAAGTGGAGTGTTAACACAAAGCGGCTTGCATATCGTCGTCTGTCCATCAGAACGGTCCGACATTGCCCAAAATCAGCCGGGTGCAGATCTGTTGTTATCCCTAGAGCACAAAGCAGCACAGCTCGGCGTCACTGGAACTTGAGGCCATGTGGATGAGTCCACTGGTCGGACGAGTCGACTTCTTTTGTTCATGACTGATATCCATGTTCGTGTGCCGCAGAAACACTGCATACGCATAATGGAGTATCTTGGAGCAAGTACCGTTTGGCGGGGATCAATGATGGTGTGGGGATCCGGAGTGCCTCTCACTGGACTGTAAACTTGACATTGTGACGATCAAGCAAAATCTGAATAGACAACGGTACATCACTGACATCCTAGACGGGGTTGTTGTACCACATTTCGATGGCCATCCTCTGAACACAAGGCTTACTTTCATGGACGACAACACAAGGCTACATCGTGCACTCACAGTTGGTGATTTCTCTGTCACGAGTCGGTGATTTCTCTACCAGGGCACCCCAGGAATCTAGAATTCAGTCCCACGAAGCATGTTTGGGATATTATGGGTCGCTGAACACGCCTAGAGACATCCACCAATACTAAATCAAAATATTGAAATTCGTTCAATTCATAGACATGAAACGCCTAAATCACTCAAACCTATACCAAAGTTAAAGGTCAAAGTCGTTTTTCTAATATCTAGCTGAAAACGGATAAATTATACATTTTTATTGTTATATATACTCATGGAAACAAATAAAGGAACACATGAAAGGACATGTGTTCCTTTATGCTTTTCCGGCTTTTCACCCACAGTGCAATACAAAGCATGCGAAGAAACCTGGAAAAGAATATAGGAACACTTATGCTTTCATGTGTTCCCTTATTTCTTTCCATGAGTATATTTACTATGACGATCACGTCCTTAATCTTGGGAAGCCATTTATGAAAACCTCTTGGTGGCACAAGCGTTTCATATCAATATATCTATTTGCTCATGCCTGTATCTCTCAAGAACATTGTAACTAAACCAGCGTCGTCAACAGCGTGTCCAACGTTGCACGTTACTATAGATTACGTTTCGGAGCCCATGTCCCCAATGGTGTCTTGGCATGAACATAATGGTTTATTGGATTACATGTAGGTAGCTGTTCAGGCGTCAGTTACGCCTCAATACTGAATGTTATATAGTGAAGGGCGATCAATATCGGAACCTATTGTCAATACCATGCGTTACAGAACGCCTCCTTGGTGTAGTGGATTGAGTGTCTGTCCTGAGACGGAATGGTCGATAGTTCGATCCCCGGCCGCGTCATGCAATGGCGTTAAAAGATTGTACTTGTGGGCTCGGAAGCGGTGTTTCGTGTCTGAGTGGGGTATCCCTGTTAAACTGCCACATGGCATCTTAGTGGGCTATTATGCCCAAGACTACAACTGTTTTAGTGCCGACCCGTGAAGATCCGGGTTAAAATTAGTTTCAGCAACCCATGCTTGTCGTAAGAAGCGACTAACGGGATCGGGTGGTCAGGCTCGCTGACTTGGTTGACACGTGTCATCGTATCCCAATAGTGTAGATCGAGGCTCATGATGTTGATCACTGGATCGTCATACCGAACTATGAAACAATTTACATGTTGGTCATTTATATTCTAAAGTAACTTAACCAATATGTCATGTGAAAACCTTTAAACTCAAAAAGTAAATTCAAACTATACAACAATTTATTCAAATACATTATCCTTTCATGAGTTGTTTGATCGGCATTCATTATTCATTACTCGAATGCTTCTTGGACGGAACTATTCATGAGATCTACTAGTTCTTGGTAGTGGTACTCGTAATCCATGCATTGGACACCAGTATGAATTCTCTTGAGGACGTAAACTAAGAATTAAGATATACAGGTATTCTCAGTAATCTAGGCCCTGTTCCTCAAAGCGATCTTAGCGCTACGATGATTGCAACTCCCTTCCTTTAACACAGGCTTACGACAGTCGTAACTCTACCTGCTTAAAGGTTCCTGTCGTACTCACGAAATGGACATATGTTATCTTTACAATACGTGTCTTAATAGTTTAAATAGTTTGCCATTATGTCAAACATATTTTTTCATATACAAGATTGAAACTATAAGCTAATAAATTTCTTCAAAGGCGTTTAGAAGTTGGTGTAGTGATACAAGACAAATGTGGTAAACAATTTCTTTATTTGTTTATCACGACGTTTCTGGGCTAGTTCTTGTCCCTTCTTCACGTGGATGATGATGATGATGATGATGATGATGATGAAGTGATCATCCACCTGAAAAAGGGGCAATAACTAGCCCAGAAACGTCGTGATAAAAAAGAAAGAAAGAAGTTGTTATCCATACAATTTGTCTTGTATAAGTTTGAAACAGCTATATAATTATGTAAATGCGTTGTCAGCACTAACATTTCGCAATGTCTGTGAAAGGTACAAACCCTGTAGGCGTCTGTCGTGTGTTCTTTTAGTATCATTCCTAAAACACTTCCATGGCAATATCGTGATATGTTACACATTTGGTTTCTCATCCAACTTTGCGCTGTTACATCTGGAGGCATTATGGGTCTGCACTGAAAAAAGAAACAGGTTTATCTCTAGTCGATATTGAAAGTGGTACTCTATATTAAATTATGGAACATAATGGCCATAAAGTACATTTATGCACGAAGATATATAATGGCGGAATTTTCTACAAGAGAGTTTGTCCTCTCCATTTGTAGCATATCTGTAACATATCACGTCTATCTGTAACATACATCCCCTCAACTGTAGCATATATCACGTCTGTCTGTAACATTCATCCTGTCTATATGTAGCATATATCCCATCTATATGTAGCATATATCCCGTCTATCTGTAGCATACATCTCGTCTATATGTACCATATATCACGTCTATATGTAGCATATATCCCGTCTATCTGTAGCATACATCTCGTCTATCTGTAGCATATATCCTGTCTATCTATAGCATATACCCACTTATTTGTAGCCTTCGATTTGAGCCCCATTTAATTCACAGGATGCAAAAAACATCCATGCCAAATTCAATAAAAATATTTCCCACGACCTCTGTCAGCTACTACAGAGAACACCTGGCGAGATGGAGAAAATGACGTCACTTCTGAGGTGACATATGACGCTTCTGGGTACAAGGTATTCATGGTAACAGATAGCCGGGATGTATTTTAGTCTACCAGATATTGTATAAACCATACAGTAAGAAAAACTGTTGCTAGTAACTCCTGGTTTTTGGTAATATGAGAGTTGTTTATAACAGGGAAGAGAAAAGAGTATGTTTTCGTACAGAGTATTTTTAGAATTAGGTGTCACATCTTTGTCAGCACCTGAGACTACTAGCGTCATTTGCAACACACGATTGGTATGAGATGATGTATCTCACAATGCGGCACCAATCTACATGACCGCGAGTGAATCTACTCTCGCATGAAATGCGCGTTTGTGGTAGACATATTTGGCTCCTGCACACATTATTGTAGCTACACTACGAACAATTCGCAGCATGAGTCACACTAGACCTTCGTCACTTTACTGTCACAGTAACACACAAACACGAATGGCCCAGTCGAGCAAGGCGCCGCAAATCGACAACAGGGTTGCGTCCCTTGAGTCGACCGGAAACTCTTGATCGTGGGTTCGAATCCTAGTTCGGCCCTGTTATGTTCCTCTGTTTGTCACCACCATGACCATGCTGGAGGGTTACACAAAAATGCTAAATGCCTACTACGTGCATCACATTCCTTCCACATTTAGCTAACGCCGTGATATAACTGGAATATTGCTGAGTGCGGCGTTCAGCAACAAACCAACCAACAACAGTAAAGCCTTTTTTAATTACTTGGTTTACGGGTTTAAAAAATAAATATTAGGTCGGTAGGGAGAATAAGAAAAAGGGAATATGGAGATGTTATTTGCACACTTGACTGGAATCGAGTCTGGACCAGACAATCCAGTGATCAACAGCATGACCATCGATCTGCGCAATTGGGAAGCGATGACATGTGTCAATCAAGTCAGCGAGTCTGACCACCCGATCCCGTGAGTCGCCTCTTACGACAAACATGGGCTACTGAAGATCAATTTTAACCCGGATCTTCACGGGTCTATGCTTCAGCATATGGAATACTGTTCAATGCGACGCTCAACCAAACTGCCTCATTCATTATAGTTTGCTTGTCTGTTTGTTTGTTTGCTTAACACCGAACGCAGCTTCCTTCCAGCTATGTGATCGTGTCTGTACATAGTCGGGTCTTGACCATACAATCCAGTGATTGACATTATGAGCATTGATCTACACAATTGGAGTGAGTGAGTGAGTTGGGTTTTACGCCGCTTTTAGCAATATTCCAGCAATATCACGGCGGGGGACACCATAAATGGGCTTCACACATTGTGCCCATGTGGGGATTCGAACCTGGGTCGTCAGCGATACGAGCCGACGCTTTAACCATTAGGCTACCCCACCGCCCCTCTACACAATTGGAATACGATGACATGCATCATCTAACCTTCTGCCTGTGACGACAAGCATGGGTTGCTAAAGACCATGTTTACCCGGATCTTTACGGGTCCATACACCATAGTGAATGTTAGAAGACTCCATTGCCAAAAACAACTAACAGCTAACAAACGACGCTGACAGTGAAAATACTGGATACCCTTTACAATTCACGTCCAGACCAGTGAGTGGAACAATTCCTGCATTAATATACTGGACTGTGATGTTGTTAAAACTGATGTCTGTTTCCTCCTCTCCCCAGCTCTAGAGACGAACAACGTGATGGTGAAGCTGCAGATCTTCGAACTGCTGTCGGCGCTGTGTGTGTACTCGAGGGATGGCTACGACCTGACTCTGGACGCCCTCGAGAGATACAAGGTATGGTAATCAGTAAAACTTGTGGGTGATCGATAGTCACTAGATCGATGCCTTTCAACAAATCCCGTGAATAATGTAGGCACATGTGTTTAGCAATATGCCCCAACCTCCACGCCATCGCCAACAGCACACCATAACACCACCGCCAGCAAATGTAACACCAGCCCAACTACCCATAAATAAAACAGACCGCCTCTAAGACCCGGTGCTCTTCCCCCATCCCCAACCCCCATCCTCTACTCGTCAGAATGTTTGTTGACAAACAGTTTCCAGCTTAAATATTAAAATTATAATGCAATATATACCATTTACACGGAAAGAGCACCACCAATTTTAAAAGAATCTAAAATATAAGATCAAGCATTAAAATGTAAAAGAAAAAAGAATATTATAATGGTTAGCTCCTAACCCCATTCAATGTGGTATCAGCTTTGTTGGTTGGCAGTGGGTTTATCTGGCTCTAAGATATATTTCAACACACGCCATCAAACACGCAGCGTTCATCTGGTTTGTTTACCTGCACCGCACCCTGTCTTTGTTAAATAGTTCCACCAAACTGTAAACTTGCAGCGAGTACGATACACCTGTGTGCGACTATAATAATACTGTCACTGACTAAATAACAACCCTTCGTTATATCACGTATTGTGAAACTTAGGAAGATGATGACAAACTCGCAGGTGAGGATTCTTCTTTTAAAACTTAATCTATTTCAAACGAAATAATGTATCCCGCTAGAAACTGAATCCGTTCACTTAACCTAGTCACGTTACCAATGTTGAGTCTTACAACATTCACTCATGCAACATCTGTAACAGGCTACGTTATAGTGAGTGAGTGAGTAGGGTTTTACGCCGCTTTTAGCAATATTCCAGCAATATCAGGGTCGGGGACTCCAGAAATTGGCTTCACACATTGTACCTATGTGGGGAATCGGACCCGGGTCTTCGGGGTGATACCGAGCGCTTTAACCCATAGGCGCACGCACACGCACACACACACACACACACACACATACTCACACATCCCCCACGTTATAGCATGACAGCATTGAACATATTGATGCCATGTTAATATCGTGTATATTGTAATGCTATGGTAGGTTAGAAACATGTATATTGCCGAGTTATAGCATGTCAGTGTCATGTATATTCCATTCCAAGGCTATGAGGACGAGATGATGTGTAATATAGGGTATATAATTATGTTTACCGGAAACAGGAAGCCACCTGACATTTCCAGAGGTTGGTTTCCTGGCGTGATGGGTTCTCCATTTTATGAAATATATTAACCACAGCACATATCCTGTACATTATATCTAACTTCGGGCGTGGTGGTTACAGGTTTAGGGATTCATCATGTGTTAATTGCGTAACTGCGTCGAACGAGTCGGGGGGAAACGTATCTTACGCAACACGTTATGAACTCGCTGTAGCAATTTCAATAATTAATAAAAACATGCTTATGCTATGAATGGAATCTTACAATGGACTTCTGTACACGATTGGGTAGCATAGTGGTTACAACCTTCGCTCGTCACGCCGAAGGCCCGGTTCGATTCCCCACATGGGTTCAAAGCGTGAGGTCCATTTCTGGTGTCCGCCGCCGTGATATTGTGGGAATATTGCTAAAAGCGGCGTAAAACTGATCACACAAACTCACTCACTCACTCTTATAACCGGAATAGTGCTATACGGCGTTGAACAACAAACAAATATAGGTGTTCGCACATCACGCGACCTGACGCATGGAGGTTGTGTGACTGTATTAATGGCATACTGCCAACTGACTCCCGACTAGAGTAAATATTTCCGTGAAAGAAAACAAAAACACTCCTGCAGATGAAAGTAAAACAACATTGCTTTGTTTATTCCTTGATATCAAAATAAATTGCCCATCCAAACCAGCATCCGGCTTGGTTGGCTACATCACAGGGCCTGGGCCCCGTTTCACAAAGCTATCGTAGCGCTACGACTGTCGTAAGTCCATGCTACAGCATAGGTGGTACGATTCCTACGAGAAAAGTTACGAGATCTTAGGCTTACGAGAGCTTTGTGAAACGGGGCCCTGGACTATATGCCTTATATGAGTAACCAAGAGGAAACAAAGACCCATCTGTTTGTTGTATTTTTTTATGTCCCGGGTGTTAGTTACAACACACAATTCATCAACACGTTGACATGCATCCTACACATGGCTTTGTGGGGAAATACTCTGGTATAACACGCATATATGATGGACAATGATAACATGATGATAGCAGTAGTTTTGTTGGTTTGTTGTTGTTGTTGTTGTTGTTGTTTATTGCCGCACTCACAAATGTTCCAGCTGCACGTCTGTCTGCCAATCATCGAGGTTGGACCAGACCAGAATATCTAGTGATTGATATCATGAGCATTAACCTACGCAACTGGAATACGATGATGTGCGTCTATCAATCCAGCGATCGGGGCATTAATGCAGCCTAGTGGTTAAAGCGTTCGCTCATCATGACGAAGACCCGGGTTCGAATCCCCACATGGGTAAAATGTGTGAAGCCAATTTCTGATGTCCCCCGCCGTGATGTTGCTGGAATATTGCTAAAGGCATAAACCCAACCCACTCACTAACACTATAATTTAAGGGGTACGGGTGGCCCACTCGTCTAAGGCGCCACACTTTGCTGTACTGAGTTGTGTCCCTTGGACAGACACCTATGATCGTGGGTTCGAATCCGGTTCGTTCGTTATGTTTCTAAGTTTGTCAGCGCCATACTCACCTACGACATTATTTACTTGCGTAAATGCGAATGTAAATTACTTTACTGGCCAATGCGAATGTTGTGGTGGAAAAACGACAACAGAGGCATGAACTGACCAAACCGAAACATGAGTCTCATTAACCTATTCACACAATGACCTACTTTTCAGCCGATCCGAATTTTCTCGTGTGAGAGTGACAATAGACATCACAAACAACTATGGTTACACTGAATTCCAATTCCTTGTTTCATAAGAAAATGGTATTTACAAATGAATTATAATTTTAAACTTTAATAACATCGCATTTCTATATTTTATGGCGAGTCGTGGGCAGCATGACCTTAACTAAGACGTGATAGGCTGCCCCAGTTTGATGAGGTCGTAAAATGATTCACAGTGCATCTGGCTCACTGGTTACACCTGTTATGTGTTTTTTGTGCTTATTCAGTGTAGTTCTGTAACGCATAATGTGATTGATATAATATTAGGTCCGTACCAGACCGCCAAACGTTTCTAGCGGCAGAGCCTCGTTTTGAGATGTCCACGATTTCCAGGTTTCTGTTTGTCAGTGTTCGCTGTACGACAGAGCAGGCTGCACGACATGTTTGCAAGGATTATAAGGAGGCGTAGTGTTGCAATGTACAAGTGCTTAGATGTATCAATAATACTGATTAATATTTATCCAGTTAAATGAATTGGTCTCAAAATTCTGGACTGGTTATTGTACTAAGTTGCGCAATAGGACGGAACCCTGTCAGCAGGAAACGAGACTGTTGTCTAGTCAATGTTTTGACTTGGTGGGGTAGCCTAGCGGTTAAAGCTTTCATTCTTCACGTCCATGACCCGGGACGATTCTCCACATGGGTAAAATGGTGTGAAGCCTATTTCTAGTGTCCCCCGCCGTGATATTGCTGGAATATTGCTAAAAGCGGCGTAAAACCATACTCAATCTAACACTCACTTGCATTACGAACTATACACTATAACTAACATCTGTGTTGTCGTGATTCATGTCATCGTATCTAATGTCGTGTCGTTGCTGTTGCAGGCGTGGCAGAAGCTGCCGTACCGGTTCAGCTTGTTGGTTAACGAGCTGAAGAGAGCAGACCTGACAAGTTACCGCATCAGCGTCATCGCCCTCATCAACTCCATCATTGTCGCCAACGAGAACATCAGGGACAGAGTTAGGATCAGGAACGACTTCGTCTGTAAGCAGATATGCATGATTGTGATATCTTAAAATGATATCGTCCAAGCGACCATAACCCGCACTGACTGACTTGCTGTGTAATCCATGTTGTTGCGTTATATGTTTGTTTGTTTTCTAACGCCGCACTCAGCAATATTCCAGCTATATGGCGACTGTCTGTAAATAATGGAGCCAGGACCAGACAATCCAGTGATCAATAGCATAAGCATCGATCTACGCAATTGGGACACGATGACATGTGTCAACCAAGTCAGCGAGCCTGACCACCTGATCCCGTTAGTCGCCTGTGACGACAAGCATGGGTAACTGAAGATCAATTCTAACCCGGATCTTCACGGGTCGTTTAGTGAATAACCAACGGATCTATGTCATTGTCAGCAACAGTACATACACCTCACGGCGGCCTGTGGTCGATAGCATGAGCATGGATAAATGTTGACAGGTCACAATAACTTCTGAATATCACCCATAGTTTTTTAATGAGAAAGTCTCTAAAATGTGGGGTTCATGTTAGTCCGTTATTTCACTGTTGGGCGGAGCTACATGTAAACGTCAGAGCGTCAAGAACAATGGATGACGTCATCTTCAACTATTTGAGACAATGCCTCACATTGCTATAGGCCTCTTCGCAAACGGTGTAAAGAGTAGAATCATACTTATTTAGTTTATATATCGTATACAATATAAGAATTCAGAAAATAATATGACTTATATGCGTGCCCTTATGGATAAAACTATAGTATACGTCAAGGTTAAGTGTAACGGTGTCGCATCTACAATAAACTTTAACGTTGTTACATTTCCATTCATAGTCGCTGGTTGCTACAGAGTATGACTAGAGATAACAGGGTCATGTGTATCTCCCGCGTACACACCTTGTGTATTAATACACCTAACCACGAGACACGCTCGGTACGTGTGATTGTATCACACTTATCTACGTTTAGAATCCTTACGCGTCATTTATCTTATGATGACACACCTGGCAGGAATTATAGATACGTCGATTATTAACGGGTTCAGTCTTAGAGAAACTTTTCCCATTTGGTAAAATGGTTTCCATCTCCCCCCTCAGCCCTCAACATCCTCGACGTCATCAACACCATTCGCGCCGACGAGGACGAGGACCTCCACGTCCAGTGTGATGTGTTTGAGGAAGAGCTGACTGCTGATGCTGAAGCCCTCGAGGAGATGAACAACACCACTGTCGACCTCAGAAAGCACGACGACCTGTTCAAGGCTGTCTACAATAAGGTTAGACCTCGCTGTCAAATCCCCCACAAAGAAAAAAGAAAGAGAGACAGACAGACAACTTTAACACTGTTTTTCAGCTTGCCCAATACTAAATCCATTATATGACGTTCGTTGACTTAAAACCACCCTCGTAACAGGCATGAAATGCTTAGGATCGACTCTAAGTCATGTGAATAATTTACGCTCCCAGATGTCGCTTGCGCCTTGAAAGACGATTATTACACCATGCCTCTCAGAGCACTGTCCAAAAACTGGTTGTTGACCTGTCGGTCTAATGAAACTTTTAGGAAAGACCGGCTTTTCGGATAATGCTTCAACAGACGCAAGAGGTTTCAAAAACAACATCAGTGTGCTTTCCTGGCGACAAATGATGTGTGACAGTTACTGTATTATTGTTTTGTGGTTTAGATTATGACCAACACAGGAAAATGCATACGGATGACAGTGAGTGAATGATATTATATGCCGCTGTCGGTTATGATAAGGCATACCACATTTTGTTTATTTGTTTGTTGTTTAAATACCTGTATTCAGCACTATTCCAGATATATGGCGGCGGTCTGTAAATGATCGAATTTGGACCAGACAATCCAGTGATCGTCATCGTGAGCATCGATCACCGAGTATAGATCAGGAATATACAACCATGACCATTCCGGGTTAGAACTGGTCACCAGGTCGTAGGAGGCCGGTGGGTCGGAGGTCAGGCTAAGTGACGTTTGATTACACGTCCTTGAACCTCAACAGCGTGGATCGTTTGCTCTCAATTTCAGTCACTTGATTGTCTGGTCCAGACATGATTATTCACAGGCTGATGTAATTTAGCTGGAATATTGCTGAAACAAAGGCAACATATAAAGCAAACAAGTAGGTGATATTATGAGTACCTATCCATGGTGTCAAGGAACGCTGAGACCCACAAAGTGACCACCGAATACTCACTCGTCGTCCTTTATGTTACGTTATGAGAACTAGGGATTCTGTCGGGGGATACCTGTAGCGTTTGTTGACGGCGACTCAGATAGATGTACATGCGTCTGTACGAATCAGGGCTACCAGATCAAACATGGCGTCCTCTAACTTAGAAGTATTTTGGTTGAATATACGTTTCTTCTTTGTACAGGTGCAGGACACGCCCCTCGGTGCTTCCCTACTGGCGATCCTATACAGCCTATACCAGATAGACCACACATCACCACAGAGGTAAGATCAGATAGGTTGTGGTGGTGGTGGTGATGATGATGATGATGATGATTGATATAGATATGACCCATTTTAATGATATTACACACCTTACATCAATCGAATAATATATATTGTTTCAAAAAATAAGAAATATTTTGTTAAGTTTTTGAATATTGCCCCAATAGTGTAGGTGTTTTAAGGGCAATATTGTCTCACTATAGTAGTAGACGAGTAACCTCCCCTTGTTGCTCAACAGTGAGGCCACGTGGATCCTTGCAGAGAAGCTTGTTACCCAAGCCGTTGAAAATGCAGTCGAGGCCGAGGCTCTGTTGGCGGGAGGAACGCTCAAGTCCGCCGGCAAGAAATGTGACAAGGAAGTACAGACAGAGGAAGTAATCTCATCCCGAGGTCTCCAGCGGAGAAGTGCAATACTCAGACAGCAGCATGTCGACAGCCAGTCCGGACCCCCACCGGCCTCTACTCCACCCACCGGGGCTATACCGCCACCACCTCCACCCCCTGGAGGTATACCCCACCCCCACCACCTCCACCTGGAGGAGCACCGCCACCCCCCCCCACCGCCTCCACCACCCCCAGGTGGTGCGCCTCCACCTCCTCCTCCTCCACCACCACCTGGCGGGGCCCCTCCACCGCCTCCACTCCCAGGGGGTGCACCTCCTCCTCCCCCACCCCCTCCAGGTGGTCCACCTGCACCACCACCACCCCCTGGTATGCCAGGAGTTCCTCCACCTCTACCTGCGTCAAATGTATCCCGACAGAATCTTGCTCCAATTCCTCAGGTCGACCTCATCAAAACTCCTGAACCGCAGTGCAAGATGAAGACTCTTGCCTGGAACAAGTTGACTCCCGCAAGTGTACCAAGTAGGTTCATGTTCTGTTGATAATGTAATGAAGGCTAATATATATGTTAAACAAAGACTTTATTAAAGTATACTATTGAACTAAAGTAGGGGATATTCATTTATGGGGTGATATTATTTTCGAACCAACTTTTTTAAAAAGGATTATCCCATTTACAATTTCGTGCAAGCGCTTTTCATAATGTGCATGTGGACATGGTCAGTTTGGGTAAAATCGAAAGCGTTTATTACAGTGAAACGCCTTCGTCAGTTTGTGGTTGTTTACTCTATCAACTCTATACGGCGGGGAAGCGTTTTTTACATGCTGCGTCTGTCACTTCAGAAACGCCTTCGTGCGATTGGCATGTTAGAAGACAAACCATTGTGGCACAAGCTCTTATAATTAACGTTTGCACAGTCAGTAAGTAGCAGATTTCAGTCACAATATCGATAGGCAAATAACGTTGGTGAAAGACGTCCATTTGATCAAAAACTGGTGCTCAAGACCGTTTCGAAACCGTGGTCAAAGTGCCTCTATAATTTGAGATATGCTTCACAGATATACGATTCGTCATGAGCTGCACATATGGAACCTGCATGCCCGACGTTCATGTGTTATACCACGATTGTCGAACTGTTACATTATGCATGACGTCGAGCGGCAGCGCTGGGCCAATCATATTTGAGCAGGGGATGTGTTCCGACGAAACAAGGTTTACATTCTTGACAATTGCAACAGAATGTGGTGTAGACAGAATGAGCGTTGTCATGCCGTTAACGTTAGACAGAACGGTCGTTTTGGGGGTGTCTCAGCATCGGTGCGGGAGGGGATCACTGTGACACCTGTTCATGTTATTCACGTTATATATTAACCCCTGAGATCCGCTCATGTTCACAGAGACCAGCATCTGGGGCGATGTGTCCAAGATGAAGGACCAGGTTCCTGTAGAATACAGCAAGCTCGAGGAACTGTTCGCACAGAAGACCTTCACCTCTCAAAACTCAACCTCTGACCTCAAGCCGGAGGACAAGGTCATCATGAGAAGGCCGTCCACAAGCTTAGAGGTACCTCCTCCCACCTCTGTCTTTAGTTCACTGTGGTTCTTCAGTTTTGTTGTTTGGTTTCTCGGATATTAAGTCCAATATGTTTACCTGTCCCCAGATAACTCTCCTTGATCCTAAAAGAAGTATGAACGTCAACATCTTCCTCAAGCAGTTCCGGAAGTCCAACGACGCCATTATTGATCTCGTCAAGAAATGTGACTCTCGAGCGTTTGGGTCTGAGAAACTAAAAGGTCTGCTGAAAATACTCCCGTCTCAGGATGAGGTATGCTGACAGTTTAAACTGTTTACGAGTAGTTGAATACTACTGCTTGAGAAAAGTCAATGTCTGAAGTACGATCAATACAATGAATACGTATTTTAAGACATATCTCATGCATAAAATATACTGGACAAAATAAGTTAGGGATATTGGTATTTTATGATTGATATTTTATCAGTGTGTCACTTATTCATAATTTCAAAATTTACATATATCCCTAACTAGTTTTGTCAAGTATATAATTAAAAGAGACTTGTATAGCCGCTATTTTCTTCACGGTCTCATCCAGCCATAACATTGTAAGGCAGTTGAATTTCAATAAGACATCCACATTAACGCCAGAGAATAACCAGTCTCGATTAACCATTGGGCTCAAGAGGCAAGATAGCTGTGAAACGTTAATGAAATTGTTAGCTGAACTGAACTCCTTCCATAGGGCGGCGAAACATTTGGGAAAGATCGATACTACATTCTACAGTATGCACTACTAGTATTTACGTCTGTGTTGTTTTATTTAAAATTAATTTAAGTGATCTTCGTCAACTCAGGTTTGTAGTGAGAGGCGACTAACGGGATCGTGTGATCAGATGCAAAGCATTGCATCCAAACATTATAGATCGGTCCTCGTGAAGTCAGTTACTGGATTGTCTGGTCCAGAATCGATAAATTACAGACCACCATCATACAAGTGGAATATTGCTGAGTACGTTAAACAAAGCGCAAAACTGTCATGCAATAAACATCTGGATTTAAGATTGAAGTAACCGTGGTAACCTTTATACCAGATCGACACCATCCAGCACTTCGAGGGCGACATCACACGCCTTGGTAGCGCTGAGAAGTTCTTCCATCAGCTGGTCAACGTGTCCGACTACAAGGTGCGTGTCGAGGGGATGCTGCTCAAGGCGGACTTCAACTCCCATCTGGGCGGCATCAGGCCCAACATCCAGCTTCTCAACTCCATCTGTCGCAGCCTCATCGACAACAAGTCCCTCAAGAGCTTCCTTCGTTACGTCCTCCACGCCGGCAACTTCATCAACAATGTAGGTAACCTTAAGAAACCATTCCATCGTGAAGATCCGGGTTGGAATTGGTCGTCAGCAACCTATGCTTGTCATAAGAGGCGACTTACGGGAGCTGATTTATTCGGAAGTGGCAAAACGAACAAGAGATGATATAAACAAGAGATAGGAACAAGAAATAATATAGAACATCCAATTGAGATCATGTAATATGAACACATTTATATCACTGCGAAACAGTATATAGCCGAAACCAACTGTAACTATGGCAACAGTAACTAAGTCAGTCCAACTCTTTGTTGACAGAGATATATTTAGCAATGTTGCTGAAATGTGTGCAAAACACGTATGACATGTACGTTAAATATGTACCATGTTAAGTGTTTATTTGTATACGTGAGTGTATGTGTGCGTGTCGAGTGTATGTGTGCGTGTCGCATGTTTATAGGTTTGCCTGAATTTGTTGGAACTGAATGTGTAAAAACTCATCCCATTATATTCTGGAAACCCATTTGTCCAGAAACTCTTAGCACTCTCGTCAGTCTAAAAGAATTTAGAAAATTAAAGAGGCTTTGTCCATGGGTATATACTAAGGAAGAAATATTTTTGAAAATGATTGAAAGCTTAAAAATTTATAATTTCAAATATATTATGTTAACAGAAGAGCAACTCTGGTAACGCCGTGGCCTTCCGAATAAGTTCCCTCAACAAGTTGGTGATGACGAAGTCGCACGTTCCGCGGATGACGTTGTTACATTTCATCGTGGAGGAGGTTGCGCAGAAAAACAAAGACTCTCTAAAGTTTGTGGATGATTTACTTGAGAATCTACAAAAATCTTCAAGGTAAATACAAAAACCAGAGTGAGTTTAGTAAGTGCAGGTCCGTGGTTTAGTCTAACACAGCTATGGAGTAGAAAGTTGCTTCTATAGTCAGTTACTTCCCTTGCCTTAAAAACGTTATACGTGCCGGTTATACGTTTCATGTCTGAGGAAAGTTCTTAATGCGCTCCCATACGTGTACAACCTTATTGAAACCTTTGAGAAAAGGCATATTGCTGGCAGACCCGGGGAAATGATCGTGACAAATGTTAGGTTCCAGTCATGACGTGACAGTGTAACATCGTGTATTTTAACCCAGGGCGACCCCGAGGCTACTGAAATTGGAACGAATGTCTATGAATGAGGATTGTGACAGCTAGTATTGTTTGCTCCACTAGAGGCCTACAAACATTTACTATCTGATGTTAACGATAGCGGTAGAAAAATAAATAGTTGCGATCGGGGGACAACAGGAAAGACTTAAAAGAATTTTTTATATTTTTCCTATGCTCAATTACAACTACTTCAGTCGCTTCTACCCTTTGAATGTATTTTGCTTTTTCATGACTTGTGATGCTCGTTCCCATTTTCCAGGTTCAGTCTTACCACCTTAAAGGCAGAGTTCAACCAGATCAAGATCGGCATTAAGAAACTACAGAGGCAACTGGAAGATGTGGATGAAGAGGTCAAATCCAAGTTCAAGGTCTTCCTAGAGGTTAGTTCTTAAAGTTCAGATATAAGCCTCTTAATATACAATTATCCTGATTCTGAGAATGAGGGTTCGAATCCTGGAGGGGACATAACCTATCGAAAGAAAAATAGTCCCAATTTTATAAAGAGTACTAGTATGTCTTTTCTAATGATGAACACCCCATGAGTTTCATTCTTCTTCCACAGGAGGCGGAGTCCGACCTGGGCGATGTGGAGGAGGGTCTCGACCGCCTCACTAAACTATCAGTGAGGCTGGCCAACCACTTCTGTGAAAACGAGAAGACGTTTCAGCTGGACGAGTTCCTGCAATCCTTCCGCGAGTTTTGTGACATGGTCAAGCAGACTGAGCAGGTAGGTGGCAACCAGGGATGAACGTTCCTTAAACAGCCCACTGCTTGTCAGAGCTGTATTTTTTAGTCTGAATGTGGACAGTCCGAGATAGCATGTATATCTCCTCAATAGCTCTGGAGTTTTGCTTAGACACAGAAACCAGTCATATGAAAGGTCCATGTCACCCTCGAGGTTATAGTTTGAAGAGGTTCGTTTATACCCTAACCCAAGAAGGATATGTCAAAGACACTTGATACGATTTATCTGAAAACGGTCACAGTGACCGTATGCATACTGTTCTTTAAAAAAGGGAGACTGTAACACACACACACACACATATGCACATACACAGTCGGGACTGATATTGCCTTCTAAATAAAGCTTGGCTCATCAACAGGTTAGTTGTTCCAAGAATTTTCCATGTACATTAAGCATAGCCCTGGTGATGGTACATTGCCATGATGTACTGCAATATTGAAAAGGGCGGCAAAAATCCTCACACTCCCTCACTTCCGTGTCTATTTGCACAGGAGCTGGAGACGAGGAAGTTGCAGGCCGAAAGGGCGGAGAAGAGGAAGAAGGCGCAGCAAGAAATGGTCGACAGAAGGAGAAGTGAGTAACCCTTCTTATTGAAGTTTCGTTTATCAGAAAACAATTATTAACTCAAAATACAATTGACTAAACCGTCTTGCCTTTACATGTGTTTGAGATGAGTGCCACCGATGGTTATCATCACTGTTTGATAAACCTACCTGTGTTGTTGGTGTTGTAGAAATGTTAAACTGGAATGTTGCAGGTGGTACACGAGAGGGTTCCGTGGATGAGAAGAAGAAGATTGTGGACGATCTCGTCAACGAAATCAGACGCGGCAAAGTGCTTAGGAGGTTGTCCCTCAAACGTAAAACCAACATGGCCATCACAGCCATCGAGACAAGCCAGTTGTAGCATAATCTGTATTCCCGCTTGTGCGTCTGTGTAGGGTCACCACGTGACATCTGATAAGACCATATATGGGAAGAGGCTGTCACGTGTCTCGACCAGGCATGAACCTGTCTCTCTAAAACATAAAGGATTAGATCTCAGATGTCAACAACGAGATGGTTCTTGTGAGCTGCAGGTATTAGCGAAATTTCCAGGTCAAGTGTGAACACGATTTCCGTCTGTCTGTGTGTCCCCTTTAATCGCCATCTTGTCATCGTGAGCGTTTCAGGATACGAGCATTCTCCGATTCAACCAACAGCAGCATTGTCCGTCAGCATTGAATTTGTCCAAGAATTATTAAAATCTCCAAGGGCAAGTTCAATTGTCCTAAGATCAATCTATATTACATAATCTTCTAGTCCAAAATGAAGGATAGCCTCGCTGGATTTGACCAATGAGGTCTACCCGTGGCAATACTTCAAGGATACGCCGGCGATTCTACAAAGACCTCATCAGATGGCAAGATTCAAGAGAACGCCGCACTCATCCAAACTCTGCTTCACTTGTAATTTTGACAACACCGATGTTAGTCTCATAGTTTAAAGCCAGCCGATCCCGATACAATGTACTTCAATCTGCCCATCGATGTTCCTTCTGCAAGATACTTAAAATGCATGTTCCTCAATGAGCCTGATAATAATAGTATCACCCTTACCAGCTTGACTGTGCTAGGACCGCCCAGCCTCCTTCTGTTGCATTTTATTTTATTCTGTAGAACATAATAATAAATAATATATTTAGCGCTGTATACGTATTGTGCAAGTAAGTGCTTATACATTAATAACTTGATCAAATGATCAGTGTGCTTTCAATGTTCACTGACACCTGGTTGGGGGTTATAAGGGTCCCATCATAATCGCCAGATTATCATGAAGTCATAATATGTGTGGTTGTTGGCGATGGAAGTCACCCACAGCGTTCAGCAATGGGTGATTAATCAAATAAAAAAAATAATAAAATACCGTTAGGTGTCGGTATCGTGTCTCCCTGCCCGGCCCACGTGTCCGCGACGTGCACTACGTCTTTACAACGATAGGGAGTAGATAACAACACAGAGAAATATCGAAGCTATATTGCCCAATATAACCCCAGTCGATGTATATAAGTTGATTATGCATTGCGGATATACATATTACTAACATTGAAGTCAATTCACAGGTTGGATCCATTCGGATTGATTATATAGGGCACACCAATGATATTCTCCAGAATTTAGAAATGGGTAATATGTTAATGGAATATTGGTTCTCTCCCAATTCCAATTAGCTCAGATAATAATGTACAACACTCTATACCTTATTGTAAACATGTACACGTACTTGGGCTCAAATCAAAACTGAAAAACTCTAGTGTATGCCAGTAAAGCGATGTTAACTGTATGTAGGCCATTTTCTGTTTTCAAGTGTATTTTTTTCTCCATTCTAGTTTCGTTATGCAACAAATAATATAATGTAAATATTACAGTTCGTAAATGGGCTTCACCAGCTATCTCTTTGCTACAAGTGAATGTTATTACATATTTCAATTATATATTTTTATAAGCTGAAATGAGAACTAAAAAATGGAATTAATTCTAATCATGAAAATTCTCTTGCACAAACATAGCCACCGTTAGTATAAAAGGTTCTAAATTTTGATGTAACAATGGATGTCTTCATTCTGTTTGTTTGCAGGGGGGTGGGATAGCCTAGTGGTTAAAGCGTTGGCTCGTCACGCCGAAGACCCGGGTTCGAATCCCCACATGGGTACAATGTGTGAAGCCCATTTCTGGTTTCCCCCGCCGTGATGTTGCTGGAATATTGCTAAAAGCGGCGTAAAACCAAACTCAGTCAGTCAGTCAGTCAGTTTGTTTGCTTTTTAACGCCGCGCTCAGCAATATTCCAGCTATATGGCGGCGGTCTGTCTCGACCTGACAATCCAGTGACCAACAGCATGAGCATCCATCTACGCGATACGATGACGTGTGTCACACAGGTGAGGGAGTCTTCTTTCTGTAATGAGAGCCAAAAGACTATGCATGTGTATGATTGGTATTGAGACGTCTTGCCTGGGTTTGCGTGTTGTATTCGTAAGTCCTTTTTCAAATGTTGTGTTCCTCGAAGAGTATGATGTTTCTTCTGTTTGAAGGTATAGCTTCACTCGGCATTCATGACCGCTCGTGCCATGCCGGAACAAGCCGACTGCTCCTCGCATGTTACGAAAAGGGGCGAATTGCAACGAATGTAGGACTAGATGTTTAGATATATATTCGTGTATCAATCAATTGAATTGTTTCAATGTGCACAAAAATATCTTCCATGTGGCTTTCAGTTTATTCTATTTTACGCTGTTTTTATGGCTTGTGTAAATACTTGCTGATATGCAGCTGTCTCATTCGGCATACATCGGTATTATAATCTGGTGTATATGGTGGTAGCCGATGTTCTGAATGTGCCAGTCTCAGCTAACTGTGATGTATGTGTGGTAATGAGCACGTGATTTTGATGACGTATGCTTGGTAAAGTTGTGAATCTCTATTGACTGCAATATGTACAGATTGTGTTAATAAAAGTTCTTATTTCTCTTCAGTTAGTTATTTGTAAATTACATTAGGAATATTCAACGGGATTAGTGAGGAATGTAGCTCAAATTGATATTCATGAAAGTAAAACAAATTAATGTTTATTTCCGAGCGTCCTATCATCGTCAAAACACACATACATATCTAAGGTCGCGCAGACTGGGGACCATATCATTCAGGCGCATAAGGAACCTATTGTGATTGGTTCGAATCCCAAGGGGCGGTGGGATAGCCAAACGGTTAAAGCGTCCACTCGGTACACTGAAGACCCGGGTTCGATTTCCTACATGGGTACAATGTTTGAAGCCCATTTCTTGTGTTCCCCGCCGTGATATTGCTGAAATATTGCTAAACGCGGCGTAAAACCCAACTCACTCACATTGTTTATTTGTGGAGCTCAATAGATCTGATGGAATTTTGAGCATTTGTACAAAGCGATCTCACGGTGATCGTAACAAACTTACCTTAACGTCAATTTACGACAGTCGTAGGGTTAAGGTAATTAAAGTCAATTTACGACAGTCGTAGGGTTAAGGTAGTTAACGTTGATTTACGACAGTCGTATGTTTAAGGTTGATTTACGACAGTCGTAGGGTTAAGGTAGTTAACGTCAATTTACTACAGTCGTAGGGTTAAGGTAGTAAACGTCAATTTACGACAGTCGTAGGGTTAAGATAGTTAACGTCGATTTACGACAGTCGTAGGGTTAAGGTAGTTAACGTCGCGTTATAATTTACCTGACCAGACGAGTGATTGAGTTTAGTTTTACGCCATTTTGACAATATTCTAGCAACATCACGATGGGGGACACCAAAAATGGGCTCTACACATTGTACCCATGTGGGGATTCGAACCCGGGTCTTCGGCGTGACGAGCGAACGCTTCTTTAGGCTACCCCTGGCCAGGGTGTGATCTACACAAATTTGATGACGATGACATGCATCACCCGAGCCTGACCTTGGATCCCTTACAAAAAGCATAGGTTGCACTCAATCCCTGCCGTGACTGTTTTCATGAGACAACGGTAATGTGCGCAAATCACCAATAAATAATGGCGGGTCGCACTTGAGTGAGGCATTTCTACCATCTATCTTTGAAAAAAAACAACTGTTTCTTTCTTTGAATAATTACGTATATCGATTCCACCATTATATTATGTGAAAGTGATTTTTGATGTCATTGTCTATTAGTGAAGAAGGCATCTTTCAAAATGTTATAAAAAGTTTGTAGCATTTTAATAACACTGGGGGGAAAATGTAGATTATACGAATGCTTCGATGCAGGCCTGCATGCTACTTGACACGAATTGTGAGGAGAGCGTTAACAGCTGTCGTGAATGAGGAGGTTGTTTAGTGTTGAACTGACGGGTGTACTGGCGGAGGAGAAAAGTAGTATATTTCCAAGTGAATCCTGAGCACACAACAAAATATTAATGATCCATATAATATTTTGTTCATTATTTTTTCTTTTCATTTTGCAGATTCATGTCAAATATTCTTGTTGTTTTAATAAAGAAACAAAACAAAAATACACAAATACATAAATAAACAAAACAAAACAAACAAAAAATAAATAAATAAATAAATAAATAAATAAATAAATAAATAAATAAATAAATAACGAACGAACGAACGAACGAACGAATGAATAATGTGAACAATCCCTATAATATGTCACCATATCTGAAAGGGCTGTATTGTAGAAGCCAATTTAACAAATCACCTTGGCAATCCTTCAACAATATTCATTTAGTTAATGTATAAGCAAATGAAAACAACACCATGTAGCATCAATGGGTTAATTTAATCAGCAATGCAACATTGTGCAGATATCTTCACTGGCAATCACACCATCATCTCGTTACCATGACAACAGTAATTACAAGTCAAGCACAGATACTTTCACAGTTTCAGACATATTGAGTACATAACATGTGTATATGGCACAGAATATACATAATATCATTCACAGAGGTAATACGAAATAAACGTTTCAACATGGAATGATTCAAGTGTTTCATAGAACAGCAGCAGCGTGGAAAACCTGTTGATAAACATCCATATTCAGGGCTAGTGACCATGACAGCAAGGCCCAGTAAATGGATACTTATTCATTATCTGGTTTATAAGTAAGGACCTAAATCCTCTATGTAAGCAACATAAGGGACAAATGGCATCATATTTTCACTCAGCACGAATTTGGTAATTAAGCTTCACTAGAGTAGTGAGTGATTGAGTTGGGTTTTACGCCACTTTTAGCAATATTCCAGCAATATTGGGGCAGGGGACACCAGAAATGGGCTTCAGGCACTGTACCCATGTGGGGAATCAAACCCAGGTCTTCTGCGTGACAATGGCAACCCCACTGCCCTACATTTGAGTACATACAGTATCTATTCACTAAAGCTAAACAATAAAACTGTTTCAATCTGATCAACAAATTCAAACAGTTAAGCTGAAGGCTACTTCAAACATCTTTTCGTTCATATCACAGTGTGTCAGTGCTCTCAGACCAAAGATTATAACAAAAACAAGGAAGATTCCATAACCTGCCAGGCCTGGCACAGTCAAAGGATAAGACAGTAGATCAGTTGGAATCTTGAGTCACATATTTCACAGATATCTCTTTCTAAAAGTCGAACATTGAAAATTTAGTATATTTATGAACATAAAACTGACCTTAAGTACTAATCAGGAGTTAATTACCTCAAACTCTGTTAGAATTGGGAGCGAAGAATATATCTGAATTAAATCATGCATTGTTTTTTGTTGACATTTTATAATAATATCCAAAAGAATATGCAAGCCTTAGCATCCAACTTTTCATGGGGAGGAAGTCGAACATAACTCACTTAAGTGTGTTTCACATCCTACAGTACACACATCTTGCACACCTATATCAGTAGAGATGAAATAAAAAAATATAAAAATGGTAACAGAATAAATAAAATGTTAAAAGAAATTATACCGCTTTGGGTAAAGATCAAAGATCACTTAAAAATATTATAGAACTACAAAATAAATATTTCCATCAATAAATATTAACATTTTTAGTCAATTTACCAGTCCAAATTCTACTTATAATTTTAAGAAATCCTGTACCATTCATGGTATTTTTTATATTTTTTTCTACCTACCAACCCAAATTTTACTATCAAAATCTGAAAACCCAACAAAAAATGCTGACAGCACAAGACTCAAAGGCTCTTCTCCTTGCATATATACCATAATTGCTTCACGTTTCCCATTCACTGGAACATTCAACAGAACACTCAGCAAGACTGTATCACAATTCAGCATGCTCAGTCAAGACACATCTACAAAAACACAGGTCTCATTGTCACTGACGGTTCCTGCTTATACACCGACTTACACTGATATACAACCCACAGGTCTCATTGTCAGTGACGGTTCCGGCTTATACACCGACTTACACTGATATACAACCCACAGGTCTCATTGTCAGTGACGGTTCCTGCTTATACACCGACTTACACTGATATACAACCCACAGGTCTCATTGTCAGTGACGGTTCCTGCTTATACACCGACTTACACTGATATACAACCTACACATAGACAACACCTATTGTTTACATCCATCTGCCATCAAATGGAGATCACAAATACTGCATTCGACTCATATGTATGAGGGGAAGGACAAAGATCTTTCAGCCATGAGTATACCAAGATACATATCATCAAAGTATCTTGTTAGGTGAAAATTGTAATATATTCAACTTTTAGCTTTACAATAACTTGTTCATGACCCTACCCAATAATTCAATCACTTGACCTGACTTTCCAGCCTGACCCCAAGCATACAAGAAGAATTCCATTATTAAATTTAGACTCACTTTTTGACAGTCATCCCCAAAGTTGTATATTTTACTCCTGTTTTTCCAGTGACCCTATGAGACTCTCTCCAAAACTGCTACAACTTCTATATCATAAATGAACAATCAAACTGGATGTATTTTATTAAAGAAACCTACATCCCATGTATATTCACCCGATCTTCCCTTTGAAGACGTCTTCATTTTCAGTAACCCCACCCCATTCTAACTATGCCAACCCCTGTAATAACTAAGGGTCGGTTGGTGTTATATACTACACAAAAGAGGTCAAGGACTCCCTGTTCTTTCATATTACTACAGTTACCCTGTCATGCCAATATGGCAGAATTGACTGGTCCTGAACTTGTTCCAGGGTGCCGTTGTACAAAGCGATCTTAGCGCTAAGGTGACCGTAACTCCCATACTTTAACATAGACTTAAGGTAGCCTTTGCGCTAAGGTTGTTTTGTACAACGGCACCCAGTTGTCTATGTGACTCATTATCACAGAAAAAGGTTCCCAACAACTCCCAGACTGCTGTCTAGGAGACCTGCTTGGCTCAAATACTGTCACAGAATCTACAATGGTGGGCTGAAGCACAGGCACTTGGCACCAAAATTCACTACAAAATATCAGGAGGAATTTTAATGTACAGATGTTTGTGCCACTGCTTGTAAAGTGAGTGTGTTTGTTTTCTGCATAGGCTCATGGAAGCAAAACTAGTGTAGTCTTTGGTAATTTGCATATTCATTAACTCAAAATGAACTATTGTCTAAGATAACACTGGTGGGAAAAAAATCTGAGTTTTTCATTAATAAGAGATATAAATCTTCTGTTCCTATTTTGAGCATTGTGAGACATTAACTCATTGAAGCACTAGTAAAATGTCAATTGTTCCATCTATGAGAGCTTTTAAGAGAGTCAGTATAGCACTGTAAAGACATTTGAGAATTTGAACAATGTTTTCAAATGTACATCATTGATGAGATCGGATATTTCTGATGACTTCATAAATTTAAAAACCAACAAATTTACCCTGGTCAATAAAAAAAAAGAGTTGAAAACATATTGTTGTATTCTTTATGGTAGCATCCTTCACACAACCATTTGAAAGTGAGACTGGTGTATAATCACAATCACAGATCTAATCTGATGAAATCTGGTTTGTAACATTGTTTATTCATAACAAGATGTTATTTTGAATACGTCCTGCCTAGCAACCTCCTAGATACATATTTGATGTGTTATCAGAGGTATGGGTTCAGATTTAATACAGAGTTATCTCCCTTTTCCCATTCATCCACTGCATCATAAACCGCGGTTGAAAGCTGTGAGAAGTCACATGATGTCTGTGGGTGTCTCATGTAATGGTGTACAAAACTGTTAGGCAAAACTACAAAATCAGAGTTCTTTTTTTTTCATTTTTGTCCATTTACACACACATTTGCTCAGGATAGTGTCATAGTTACAACATCAGTATCAATGATAGCTTTAGGTATTGCAAAAACACTGAAAGGATATCTCAACATATGCACACTTGCTGACACAACAATGCATGTATACAATGTACAACAATGCATATACACAATGTACATCAACGCTTGTATACAAGGTACATGAATTAATGTATGCAATGTACAACGATGCATGTACAAAGTACAATAAAGGTGTACAATAATATCATTATTTGCTGCGGATGGGAAGAAATTGCATCACACACTTTGCTTTAGGCTGCAACAGGTCAAGGCGGAAATCACCAACAGGGTGCCTGTACAAAACAACCTTAGTGCTACAACAGTCGTAAGTCTGTGTTAAGGAATGGGACTTACGATCACCTTAGCCCTAAGGTCCCTTTGTACAACGGCACCCTGTTCAAGAAGTAACAATTAAACTTTAGCACAGTGATGTTACATAGACACTGGCGCTTACACTGAATGTAGCTTATCTTAAATTTAAAATGCTCATCATGGGCCTTATTGGTATACAATAGGGCCCTGATGATGTACAAATGTACAGAATGTAATTTAAAGAAATGTCATTTTTCAAAGAAACATTAAGTGACTTGTTCTCTGGTTTTGCTATAAGAAAAGTTACAATGAAACAAACGGAAACTTTTTGTTTCACTTTGATTCCATTCCACAACAGTGATAAGACTGCCTTATGACTAGATCAACTTGGATGGATCACCTTGGAATAAAGATTGTTTTGTGGAACAGCATCCAAGGCCCAGCCCCAAGAAGACAGTTTTTGTTCTCCCCAAAAAGAAATCTTAGCAGTATGTGGATTGCCATCAGTCTACTTTTAAATATGGTGCTACGATCATCCCAGTACAAATATCGCTGCGTGGAACTGAGGTCTGATTAAAGATGTGGTCCCAGTCACTAAGTCTATGAGGTCGAAGTAAGATTTCTACAGATGCAGAATTGAGATCTTAGTTTCCACCGTAAGATGTACTGTCCTGATGCTAGTGAACCTGTCATATTCACAGAAAATAAGTTTTTCTGCAAATATTATATAATGTCATACCACTGTTTAATTGGTCTGTAGGCTGTATGCCTACAAGGCAGCTGTAGATCACAGAGGTTCTAGGTACAAACAACGGAATATATGTTCATGAAGAGGTGGGTGTGTTCCAGTAGATCGAACAATGTTTCCAGGCTGCATTGGCAGAAGTCCCAAAGATATCCTATGCTTTCTTGGGAGATTTTAAAGTGCTTTAAAGCAGATCTGCAGTGTCCTGAGGATATTTGCAGTGTTCTCAAGGAGATCCTACAGTGTTCCAGGTATATTTGCAGTGTTTTCAAGATCCTACAGTGTTCCCAGAATATTTGCAGTGTTCTCATGGAGATCCTACTGTGTTCTTAAGGAGATCTCCATTGTTCCCAAAGAGATCCTACAGTTGTTCCTGGTACATCTGAGTGTTTAGAGAGAGCTGCTGCACTCTCCCGAGAAAGATACAAAAACATCATGGATCTGGTTGCTCTAGTCATCCTAGAATCTCTGGGGCAGATGAGATTTCAGGTTCTGGTGATGAGAAAGTCTGCACAACCGTATATCTGCTGGTGAAGAGCAGACATGTGACCTTGTTTCTCAAAGCAGGGCTATGCCAATTTCTTGTCTCGGATATGTCTGGCTCAATGAAATCATTCAGTGGAACAAGACTCTCAAAATCCTATGAGAAGGATGATATGAATCATGTCTGACAACATTCTAGTCACAGTCCTGGCCAGTAATGCATCACACATGTCAGTCAGTTCACTCAAAACAGTGTGTGGTGTTGGGTCTGGATTGGTCCATATATGAATCTTCATCTACAGTTTTATCACAACTCACATAAACACTAAAGTCTCCATGTTCAGAGAAAAGGACTTGTATTTCAGAACTCGGCATTTCTGAAGCTCATCCTTCAGGAAGAGCAATTCTATCAAGTTCAGAAAGACATCCGACTGACAATGTCGACATCCTAGGTTGCACAGATGCAAGTTTAACTGAAAATGATGTTCAAGAACGGAATATTGTCATCCCTCATAGATACACATCCCACATTCTAAGACTATAGTATACACATGGTAGTGATATGATACATATCTTGATAGTATATCCAGATGGATATATCCATTACAACTTGACCCTTGTCATGGCTGCATTCCATCTTCAAGGGAACCAGATCACGGTTCTTGTTCATAACATGCATATCACTTCATTTTGCTATGGATCTCTCAGTTCAGCCATATGGTGGCACCAAGTTTTGTGATGCACAGATAAGTGACATACATCTACACCCTTGTATCCATTCAGCTGACCTAAAGCAGTCTGTTCTGATTCCTATGATACCAGCAAGTTCCCTAAGACCAGACATCCACAGAGAAATATGTCCATTGAAGAACATCCACATCACTTCATTCTTCAGCATGAGCAGCAATATAATTCAGAAAGCTGACCACAACCTATAGTTCACTGATGCAAACTGTGTCTTGTACTGAACTTGGGACATCTTGGTTGGCCAGACAACACTGTTTCTGTGGTCTGGCAGATCATATTGGATTGTCATTCAGGCCTTTCATATATACTGCAGTCTGGCACTGGACATTGGACATCGGGATCCTTGATGTAGCTCAGTCTGATCCACAGTGGCATCAAGCATTGGAGAGTACTGCATGCTCAGGCTACAGTGGCTAAGCATATGGGAAAGTCTTGTTGTATTTGAGTTGTATCAGCTGTGTATGACATTACTTGATAGACCTGGATGTCATGGTTACTAGGTCTGGCAATGAACTAGTTCTCGTAGGCTTGGGAATATGTCATAGTCTGGTGCAGAATGCTTTCAATCTTGTAACCTCTGACCTGTTCCCAGAGTCTGGTACTGAATGTGCTGTAAAGCAAGGGTTTCCCTACTGTAGTTTTGTTAGATCGTTGCCCTGAACCAGGTCTTGCTGGTCAGGGCATCTGGTTGATACAATGCTTTCCAGAATCGGCAACAACCACCTGCCCATCGCTGGTGATGTCAAGACAATGGTAACCAGACTTTGGTAACCACATCTTCTGAGCCTGGTGCTGAATGTGTTAGTTGAGAGCATCCCTACTGTGGTTTTATCAGATCTATGATAGTCTGGCCCTGAACCAGGTTTATCGACCTGGCCATCTACTGGAGGTACTTGTACAGCTTGATACAATGGTTGCCAGAGTCGGCGACAACGACCTGGCCATCGCTGGTGATGTCGAGACCCTGGGGACCATACAACGGGTCGGCTGAGGTGTTCACATAGGACAGGAAGGAACCACAGCTGTCAAATACCTGAAATTAAACAATTATAGATTTATTACATATTATTAAATTCAATCTCATTGGGCAGGAATCCTTGTCCTGAATACACCAGTGATATTTTTAACACTGGTTTGGACAGTATTTCAGTTCTACTATTCGCCGTGAATAGCTGCAAATTGCTGATGCAGCGTTAAGCTATACTCACTCACTCACTCAGTTATATCATCAGTTTGATGTGGAATCAAAGCCTGAAGTAATGTGAGTCATTTTGATAAAACTCTAATTTTTGAAAGTGTTATGCTAGAAACATATTCAGGGTGAAGCACTAAAAATTACTTACGACGTCACTTAAGTTCCAGTGATGTATTTTATTGAGACAAGAAGCCCTGGGGTAGCTTTGTATTGTACTTAATCATTATACCAGAGAAATTATTTCCTTGATGGTAAAAGCCTTTCTCTGACTCCCCTGACAGCATCGTATTTCACTGTGTAGCGTTGCACAATTGGGCATGCCCAACACCGGTCATTGTGGGTTCTGAATCATGGGGGGCGGTGGGGTAGCCTAGTGGTTAAAGCGTTCGCTCGTCACGCCGAAGGCCCGGGTTCGATTCCCCACATGAGTATAATTTGTGAAGCCCATTTCTGGTGTCCCCCCGCCGTGATATTGTTGGAATATTGCTAAAAACGGCGTAAAACCATACTCTGTCAGTCAGTCAGTCAGTCTGAATCATGGTTCACCAAAGAAATATTTCTCAGCTTTCAGCACCATACCCATGTAACATATGTTATATTTGGGATTACACTTTCTTTGTAAAGTACAGATTCTAGTACTTTCTTGAGGTTGAGTCCCATCTGGGATTCAAACCCACACACTCAGAGTCAGGCACTTTTGTGGAAGCCGCGCTGGCTGAGCGGTCTAGGCGTCTGACTTTGTGTGCTGGTGATTAGGTGCCTGACTCTGAGGGTGTGGGTTCGAATCCCGGATGGGACTTAACCCCCCCAAAAGTACTAGAATCTGTACTCTACAAAGAAAGTGTAATCCCAAATATAACATATGTTACATTTCACCACTTTCTAAAATGGCATTGTGTATTTCATACCATACCCATGCTTGCAGGTTTTACCAGAATGGTTAATGTCTGAGACCTTCATCCTATGATATAACTGGAATATTGTTCAAAGCGGTGTTAACCTCAGCTCACTCACTTATTCAAAATATTGCACAAAGCATCATAAAATCACATTAAGTGAATCAAGGAGACCATTGATTCCTCACAAGTAGATCAAGATCGCTTGTTAACACTTCCTGATCATGAAGACTGTTTTATCAAGATCTAACAGCATATTTCATGGTCCTGAGATCCAGTCCATAGTGACTTAACAGGAGGTAAGATGATCCTAGTTTGTTTGCCTGCTGTTTAATACCATGCTAAGATACATTTCAACTTTGTGAAGTCAGACTGTTAATAATCGACTATTTAAGTTTATGAGCAACAGTTATCATCAGATATAATAAGTCTCACCTGATGACATGCTACAGCTGACAAGCATTGTCTGATGGGGACAATTCTAACTGGGAACCTCTGTGCAAAGACATAAATACTACATGACTTCTCACACAAGCATAACATTTTTTTGTTTTCTTGCTGTTTAACATCATCTCAGCTATATGACCATGGCCTTAAAGTTATCCAGTCAGTATCAGATAATACAGGGATTAATATTGTGGGGATTAGAACCACGGCACTTGTCAAGTTGACAAGCTTACAACCAAGTCACCAAGTCTGAACAGTTTGGTCTCATGACCAACATGGGTTGCTGGGGACCTGTTCTGACCCACCATGGTGAAAGATAACCTTGAAGGAATGTTGATAAATATAATTGATCAAATAGGGCAATAGGTCTTATCCTCTCCACAGTCAAGACTGAAGTGTGTACTCAGTGTCGGAGATATCGTTAGACAATCATCTTGATAAACCTGACGTAACAATAGCACATTATTACAGAAGACAAGGCCCCCTATACACTACAAGGTGATATGGATTCCTATCTACAACAGACATTTGTCAACATCCATAAGGAGACTTGTCTTGTCAAACAGTCCTTCAGTTCAGATTTGTTTGAGGACTTGAACATCTTCATCAATTGTAGTTAAGAAACAGTTAGAAATGTCTACTTGAGAGCATGGTCAACATTCAGATAAGTGGAATACTGTCTGTCTGCATTTGTTTGATCATGGATGCCAAAGAATTTGATAACCCTTGAAACGTAATATGTCTGATTTATGATATGGTTCCTTGCCGTAAGACTGATAGGACTGTCCAATACAGTCTGAAGTCTCTGTGGAGGGCTCTTGATGCTGCTACTAATCTAACCACAGTACACAGGACAAAAGCTCTGAGTGAACATGGTTTTATACCACGTATTTCAGCAATACCATAACAAGGCAACCAGAAATGGGCTTCACCAGGTAAGGATCAAACCTAAGTATTGTGGACATTTTAACCACATGACTACCCCACCACCCAACAAAGTTTTTGAAATGCATGAGATTGCACTGTTTAGTTAATCTTAATGGGTAAGTGAGGATCACTTCATCTTTAATACAATCGTGGTCCCCACTAAGGATCTTCCTATTGTAGCAGCCATAAAATTTCCAAGTCCCATGCTGGGATTCGAACCACGGACCTTCTAATCCGAAGTCAGACGCCTTGTCCACATGACCAAAGAGGTTAACCCTGTCAGCAAGCTGACAAGGTAAGGATGTCATCTGCGGGATGGCTCCACGCCCTGTTACACTATGCTACAGAGAACTTATCACCAATAGTTTAACCACTAAACAACCTAAACCCTGAGATTTTGTCAAACCTCTACTACATATTAAACAACATGACACCTATAACTTTATCTGAGCCTTGGGTCCTTTTTCACAAAGCTATCTTAGACTGACTGAGTTTGGTTTTACGCCGCTTTTAGCAAAATTCCAGCAACATCACGGCGGGGGACACCAGAAATGGGCTTCACACATTGTGCCCATGTGGGGATTCAAACCCGGGTCTTCGGCGTGACGAGCCAACGCTTTAACCATTAGGCTACCCCACCACCCCAGCTATCTTAGAACTAAGACCACCTTGAATAAAGCGCTAAGATCACTTTGTTAAATGGGGCCCAAATCAATGTTATTTTTAATTTCTAGGCCTCAATATGCAAATATGATTTTTTTATGATTTAAAGACAATTTCAAATGATTGAGTAAAGGATGTTATTATGAACAGTTCAGAAAATTATGTTAAAATGTAAAAAAAATGTACTGTGAAAATAGCTTCAAAACATTTTTTTTCTTTTGACTTTTTCAAAACATTTTGTTCAGGCTCATCTATCAATCAAACCAACACTTGTGTGGCCCTACTGCTGGCATTTACCTGTATTCTAGAGTTGCCCCAGTCTGCGACGAGGATGTTCCCATTTCCATCAACAGCTACACCGGTGGGGGCATTGAACTGGCCATTGCCCTCCCCATTGGAACCAAAACTGAACAAGAAAGATCCTTCTGAATCAAACACTTTGATGCAGTGGTTGTGGAAGTCAGAGATGATGATGTCGTTGTTGTTGTTGACAGCAACGTAATGGGGACCTGCAAACTGACACTCATCATTTCCTCGGGATCCAAACTTGTGCAGCAGCTTCCCGTTGCATTGAAAGACAAAAACAGTACTGGCCTTATTGTCCACAACAATAATGTGGCCATTATTGTCCACAGCAAGACCCTTTGGTCCTAACAACTTCCCAGTACCCAACTTGTTGATGTACTTGCCATCGGGGGTAAAGACACTCACCCATTTGTTATCATAGTCAGCGACCAGATAGTTGCCATTCTTGGTCAGAGCCAGACCAGTTGGCCTCTGCATCTTCCCTGCCACTCTACCAGGGGACCCATACCTCAGCTGGCACTCCCCTTTATTGGAGAATACCTGCACAACCTGATTGTTGCTATCGGCAACAAGAATCTTTCCTTCAGCACAACACACTCCCTGAGGATTTGTAAACTCGCCTTTGTTTCGACCTTTACTTCCGACCTTGAAAAGAAGGTCATCTTCAATTAGGTTGCTACGGCGATTGGACCCATGTGACCTTGAACTTGATGGCCGCTTTGTTCCTTTTTGTTTCACAACACTAGTCCTGGGGATCTTTGAGGAGCTTCCTAGTTGGTCCGATTCCTCACTCCCCAGGGTACAACGTATCTTGAATGGAGATCCCTTCACATGCTGGTTAAACAGCATAATATCTAGACTATACTGTCCTTCTCTCTTGATGGTAAAAGTCAAATCATATGTTCCGTTTCTGTGATCAGTAATGGTTGGCACCATCTTATCCTGAGTATCCAGACTAGTGATCTCAACAAGAACTTTGGCAAACCCGATAGTGATCAGGTCGCCCTTTCTATCCTTAGTTGTAACTGTGATGACAGTAGGCCTACCAGCATAACACTGCTTCAACCCTTCACCCGATGCTGTTGTTTCAAAGGCTATTGCACTGTTTGTCTGGATAGCACCAAGGTTAGAGAAGGTCTTTCCAACTGCATGGAAACAGCTTTCATCGAAAGACAGGAACTCATTTTCCTCGGGCTGAAACTGAACCTGAAGGTTGGCCAGTTCCTGAAGCTTCTCACACATCTCTTTCTTCACCAGAAGGATCTCTGTTTCATTCCCATTCTGAAGAGTCTCCTCTGTGAAATCACAGCAGTTGTTAATCCGAGCCAAGATGCTCTCCACCGTTTCCCGCTGCTCCAGTAGTGTCTGTTGCTTTGTGCTGTAGACCTTCCCGAGTTCCAACAACAGGGTTGACTTTCGTTCATTCAACAGACGAGACAACTCATCAAATGCTAATGTTATCCGATCTTCTGTCCGTCGGGATCTGCTCTCCAGAGCTTCAGAGACTTCTGTGACTAAGGTTATGGAATGTTCAATCTTGGGGATTTGTGAACGAGCTTGAGAGATGAGTGACTGAAGGCTGTTCTTGTGGTCCTGGATAGCCTCCTGTAACGAGATGTGTTTGTGACCGATATGTTCGACACGCGTGCAGTCTTCGCACACGGCAGTTTCACACTCGATGCAGTAGTAAGGTAAAGCGTTTCCGTCATGATTTGGACATACCAGCTGTGGCTCATCACTGTCAGCTGGGCCAGACAGTTCATCCAAACTCACGACCGTGTGGTTCATTTCGGACTCCATACCGTAATGACAAAGGACACAGTTCTCACACAAATATTCTTCACAATCTAAACACTTGGATACAGGCCTAGCATTTGCTTCCCCACATGTCATACACACGTTGGGCATACCCACTACATCCATTAAGTTGGTGATGAAGAAGTTGGTCTGAAGCGCAATGACCCCATCTAGAGGGAGTATGGACTGTTGGCGACATATTGGACAAGTCAAAGAGAGGCTCTCGGGGGGAATGTAATCACTGAGACACTTTTCGCAGAATGTATGCAAACATGGAAGGACTTTGGGATTTTTATATCTCTCGAGACAGATTCCACAACTCAGCAGTTCTCGGTCGATCTGACGAACAACGGGCATGCTAACTGGCCGCACTGTAGATATGTTGTCAGCCATGATGGGGACGGGATCTGGCAGGGCTGCCTGCAACAAAATACGAAGACATTTATTATGACAGAAATCATCACATTAATTCAGGACAGAACTGTTATCTAAAAGAATGAAAGGCTGAAAGAATTGCATCAGTTAAGCATTCCAACTGACTGATAATTTTAACGGCTGAAATTCTGAATAGAATTCAAGTTAACCACAAACAAAACACTCTTGAGATACAGTCATGAAAATATACACACTTTGGTATGGGCCTCATGTCAAAAACAGACCTGCCTTTGAAAGGACAAACACATCCTATAGATAAAGTGGACTTGAAGATAACACATTCCGGATAGATTTACTTTCTGGACAAAGGTATAAATTTTAATGGGAAATACAGCAGGGCTAAAATGTCCACCATGTCATGGCCCAAGCAACAGCAACTGACAAGGTGATTATGTAACACTAAGGTCTATGTTGTCGTAAACTATAGAAGAAACCTTGTTGATCTCTGGTTCTGTTCCCTTATGAAATCATCCTGACTAGTGATTAATCATTGGTTCAAACTGATGTCCCTAGTTGAGTTTATGTTTTCAACAGGTTTGTCCAGAAAGTTGGTATTTCCAGAATAACGGAGTCTGGATTATGAGCTTTTCTGTATTCTCTAAGATCAGCAGATCTTCATAATATTAACAAAGTTTCATTTCACAGTACCATTTTTTGTTATTATTCAACACAAAGAAAACACATCCTCCACAGTTAATGTTCATTGCACATTGTTCAAAAACAATCAAAGAACATGACTAAAATTCTTCTCCCTCACATAAAAAAACAAGGAAGAAAATCATATGAACTTATTGGGGTCTAATGGTGCTGGCAAATCTACCCCATACTGTTAATGTCTGGTTCTCCCAATGCATCGCCAGACTCATTTCCCGCCAGCACACTGTAACTATGTAGCCATGTAGCCATGTAACCATTAGGTTTTCCAGAACAAAGTAGAAGCTGGACCTCTCAATTGATCATCGCTTATTCCAACAACAAGTCTTAAGATCGGCCTCACAGTGTAATCTCCGGACAACCAAGATAATCTTAATTTACCCTACAAGTGAGGTGAAATTCTTTTTAGTCTATTTGTCAAGTTGATAAACAACCACGTTAAGTAGCTGTAGGTGCTGTGAGGATTTCCTTCAACAGCTGATAAATACCTTCACCGTGCGGACCCACCAACATAACAAAGGACCTAATTACCTCCTTCAGTGGGGGGCCTTTACTAAAGGCGATGGATCTGACTTAAAATAAATTTCAGCTATTACTCGTAACCTTACATTAGCTTCTATGATTGATGATGCTTCTCTCAAGCTTAATGTACTACCATGTCATGTTAGGAGTGAGGTATGACTGACTGACTGAGTTTGGTTTGGCTTTTAGCAATATTCCAGCAACATCAAGGCGGGGGACACCAGAAATGGGCTTCACACATTGTGCCCATATGGGGATTCAAACCCCGGGTCTTCGGCGTGACGAGCCAACGCTTTAACCATTAGGCTACCCCACCGCCCCAGTGAGGTATGAGTGAATGAATGTTGTTTTCGGCAGATACATTCAACTATACTGAAACATCCTGTAAAACAATTAGTCGCAGTTTGGGAAGCATTCCGCAAAGAGGTTGTACATCTATGTAAGCATATGGAATTTTTGACTGTTTTTGTAACAGGATCAAAGTGTGGAAGTTCAGGAGTGAGTGGGTGAGTATGGTTTTACACCGCTTTTAGCAATATTCCAGCAATATCATGGTGGGGGATACCAGAAATAGGCTTCACACATTGAACCCATGTGGGGAATCAAACCGAGGTCTTCGGTGGGATGAGCAAACGCCTTAACCACTAGGCTACCCCACCCGCCGTGTGTGGAACAAGACCAGAAAAACAAGTGGTTAATAGCATGTGGTTAATAGCATGAGGACAGCCATTGGGACAACCATCGGGAAACTGGGGAACCTTCCACCCCGAATCATCTCAAGAAGACAAAATGGGCAAATGAGGACCTATTCTGCCCTGAATCACCACGGTTCAATGGCAAGTAAACAAATCATGTAATCAACCCAAACAGTTCAAAGATGGTTGACAAAAAAGCCAGCTCCACCACTGGATTACACCTCAGCTTTCAAGGGAAATCGGTTTAACCTAACCTGAGATCATAAATACATATTTTCAGCTCAATAATCATGACAGATCACATATGAAAACATGTTTACTGTTACTATCAGGACTGCTGTCTGACAGACGTCGAGATAACCACTGGTCTCCACAAATCAAATGTCCTCGGACCCCTGCTGATAGTAACGTTTAATATGACTATCGCCAAATCTGATCCCACGATGTCGCCACTTCAGGTGACATGGCATCAGGTGAGATATGATAAGATCTTCATGGCGACACACTGGTCTTGACTGACCGCCATTTTCCTTGTAATCAGTTATATAAATGCATTAGTCAAGTTGATTACTTGTTTGAAAAATACAAAAACATTGTCCTTGAGAGTATAAAGCGTATAAAAGAAATTGAAAATCTTCAAGATATTGATAAATAATTATGAATTATACATTATTGATAAGCACACAATGTTATGTGTTCAGCTTTAAACCTACTGCTGGAACATCCAATCTGATGACTCAGCTTTAATCTTTTATGCTGTTTTTGTGAAATTATACAAACGAACCAAGTCTTTGAACATATGCCACTTCGATACAAAGGAGGGATATTTGTAAAGAACCTTGTTCCGCCATTTTGGTTGTATCTTCAAAACATATGCCATCTTTCAAGGATAAAGCTCCAATGCTCAAAATAGTTTTTCCACCCATGGATCACTGGATACCAAACAAGAAACATGAAAAAACTGTCTCAATGAGAAAACCAACTTCCGGTGGTATTTTTCTTCAAATGTAAGCACCTTCATAGTCCCTTGTTGCTGCAGGAAGAAGAAAACATTGACTTACAGGAGGCTGGAGAACCATCTTGGCAACAGCAACGAAGACTGTCTGTGGTAATCATGTGTACATTGTTATCAAAATAGTGACTAAATGGTTGGTTGGATCAAAGATTATGAATCCATATCTCAATCAAACATAATCTTGCAATCAGGTACCTTAAAATAACTTTGATAGAGTGAGTGAGTGAGTGAGTGAGTGAGTGAGTGAGTGAGTGAGTGAGTGAGTGAGTGAGTGAGTGAGTGAGTGAGTGAGTGAGTGAGTGAGTGAGTGAGTGAGTGAGAAAAAAGCCATATGTCACTACAGTTGACAGCTATGTACTCTTTTAACCTACAAAATCAATAGATATAATGATGCTTCATATTCAGACTTGCAAAACTAATTTGATTTGTTCGGATTGTGGAAACAAAACTGTGTAATAATTTGTTCAACAACACCTTTGATACTATTGCTGTGCAGAATAATTTGTCTTAGAGAGGAGCCATAGATTAATCTTCTGAAATGATTACAGTGAGTGAGTGAGTGAGTGAGTGAGTGAGTGAGTGAGTGAGTGAGTGAGTGAGTGGAGTGGAGTGGAGTGGAGTGGAGTGGAGTGGAGTGGAGTGGTGAGTGGAGTGGAGTGGAGTGGAGTGGAGTGGAGTGGAGTGGAGTGAGTGAGTGAGCGTGGTTTAACACTGCTTCCCACCAGTATTGCGACCACATCACGGCATGTCTTGAATTGCAAACCTTGAAACATAATCTGGGCCAAAAGGGGTTTGAATGCACTCACACACTCACATGTGCCCAAGGGAAGCAACTCTGCACAGCAAACTGCAGCTCCTTTGATGGCTAGGGCCACCCATGCCCCAAATACAGAAACTGACCCGCAGGCTAAATTTATATGCCTGTCACTTATGTTCACATTGCATAGGCATGATGAAGTGTAATTAAAAAAGATTTCCGTCTTAACATTTTTGTCATTCTGTAAGATACCATGTCACCTGCTCCAAAAAGTCGGTTATGCTTTGAAGATAAACTCAGATATATAATTTTTTAGATGATATTGTCCTAAAACTGATCTCAGTACACATACTGGTAATATTTGGATTAAAATATCTTTCGTTCCAAGCTTTAAAAAATGTGCACTTGGTGTAATTACAGATAGCATTCATTTACAATCCAGGTGGAGAAATTGTAAGACAAAATTATCAATTTATTATTGAAAATATTATATTTTGTTGATCAAGTATATCAAATGTTAAGACTAATTACTAATCACAGTATACACCTGACACAGGTAAATTGTGAAGCAGGTACAACAATACCTAAACACTTTCTGTGTCAAGAAGGCATATTTCAATTACAAAAGTACATCACACCTAAACCAGGTAAGTCATCTCAAGGTAACAACTTAGAAAAAAGTTACAACAGATTAAACCTTAAATCACAATCACCTGTATAGCAGCACAGGTATATTCATAAATCAACATAGCACACCTGTGATAGGCAAACCTACTCCAGGTATAAGAATTATAGCAATAATATTTCACCCATAAACAGGTAAACACCTAAAAACCTCCTACCTTGTCTAGACAGTCCATTGCATTAAGGATTTTCCTGTCAAGGTGACAACCAGGTGTAAAGATGTATCACCTGACAAAAGCTCGTTCTCTCAGGTAAAACATAGATAATCCTCCTCCTCAAAACACCTCCTAATAGCCTTGAGTGTTTACTGTGTGGACCACCTCAGTTATCTACCCTGAATGGATGTTATACTTCTTTGAGTGGCATTTAGAACATTATCCTGTTATGTAACACAGTTGAAACAGTTTGCCCAATGTACAGCGTTTTCTTTATTTAATGCACTTGTTGTGTCAGCGTTAAGGAGGTCAGAGAGGGTAACAGGTATGACATAACATTGAGTGATTGGTGTCAGGGAGGGACGGAACTCCTTTGTCACTAGACTGAGCTCGTTAGGGTTGATGCTATCACTCTCTAACTAAAGTAACATCTGTATCACTATGAGCTTACCCAATATCAAGCTTACACACTGTGGCATAAGTGAAATACAGTTCAAACTGGAGTTAAACCAAACTCACTCACTCACTCACTGAATCTCACAACTGAAATTCTTTACCTTATTTCAATCACATAAACTGTTCTAAATACCCAAGTTAAAACAACACTGGTAATCTTGGGCTATTTTTGAACAAAGACTCCAACAAAAGAAATTGTATATGTATTTCAAGTGAATATATTCAACAAAACCATAATATATTTTCAACTTTTTAAATTTTGAAAAACAACTTCAACACACCTACTTCAGTGCTACATGACATTAAAGAAAGTTTTTCACAGTATGTAATGTTAAAATCATTGTGTTTCAGATCCTAACGCTTTCAGATCGCAGGACTGCTCTATAGCATGATCTTTGTGCTAAGATGATCATAAGCCTATGTAAAATCATTAGATATATGATCACCTTAGCGCTAAGATCACTTTGAGGAACAGGGCCCTGTCAAAAACAACAACAGGACATTCAGCTTCTTGGAGTGGCACAGAGACCATATATGGTATATGGTCTCTGAGTGGCATGATAGAAGTTGGGGGGTACAATATTGAACAGACTATTTGGTCATGTTATCCATCAAATTTGTTCAATATAAGACATTCAGCTATATAGAATAATTCACAGGTGGAGGACAATGCTCAATCTACCTGTGCATAATAGTCAGTTAAAATAGTAAATTAAGGTAATGAAAAGCATCAAAACACAAACTTCATACCATCATATGCGCCAAAGTTTCAGATGAAGACAGCTGTAGAAAAAGTCATGGTATCCTTCCACTATCCAACACAAATCTCAGGTAATACAGTCACATCCCTCTCAACATCAGCTAGTGCCCTGGGTCTATCTCCTTAACACACAACTCGGCACGACTGACATCTACCTCTCTCTCTCTCAATCTGTGATCTCTCGCTATCTCCCCACGTGTGATTGTGTGATCACTGCAGCGCGACCTGACAACCGCTATCACAACTCCCCCCATCCTCCGGCACCTCAAACACAAGAATAACGGTTTGTTTGTCGTTGGGAACGTGGATATTAACCTAACGAACACACACAAGCTTTGTCAGACACTGCCACCTTACTCTCAGCGTTCTCCGTAAAACAAACATTTCTATCCCTGTCGTCAGGTAGTCATTTGAATGCCAAATCTTGTGACAGGCTTGAGATGGTTTAATCTAAATGGAATCTTCAAATATTGCATATTTCTGAACAGCTTATGGTTATGGTATTATGTGTACAGTGATGTTGAAGTGGGGGACGGAGAGGGGCACTTGCGACAGAACAGAGATGGTTCTGTGGGGAAGGGGAAGATGAAGAGTTACTTCACAACATAAGTGCCCCATTGTACAGCTGTCATAGAGGATATGTTGTACTTACCCTTGGCGTAAACAACTGGTGGATGGGTAGAGGGGTGGGTGAGTTGGAGGTACAATAGTAGATGGGTGTACTGGAGGGTGAATTAGTGCATGGCTGAGTTGGTAGGTGAATTGGTGGATGAATTGGAGGATGAGTTGGTGGGTGAATTAGTGTGCAGGTGAGTTGGTAGGTGAGTCTTGGCTGATTTGGTGGGTGAATTAGTTGGTGGGTAAATTTGTGGGTAGGAGAGATGGTTGTTGAGTTACTGGGTTGAACTGGTGGGTGGGTGAGTTGGTAGGTGAATTTGTGGGTGGATGAACTGGAAGGTGAATTTGAGGGTGGGTGGGTTTAGGGTGAACGGTACATAAAGCTCAAATGTACTGAGTATGTTCAAAGACCATTGTTTTTCGGAAGTGTTAGTCAAAATATATACTTTTTACATGCACTTAATGCACTTTTTGAAAATAGGTTGCACTGGTGCAAATTGTCTATAGCTAAATCGATCCCTGTGTGGGTGTATGAATTGGTTGTACGAGGAAGCTTGTGAGTGGTAAGTTGAAGATAAGTTATTTGTCGGTAGGATGAGTGGGGTGGGGGCTTTGTTTGAAGGGTTGTTACATAAGTTTTGTAGTAAGCCCACTGAAGTTGCAGATGGGTAGATTGATAGTAGGGTGGTAGACGCCAGTAGTTTGTGAGTTAGTGAGCAGATTGGTAGTAGGGCGGAAGTCACAAATAGTTTGTGTGTTAGTGAGCAGACTGGTAGTAGGGTTGCTGACTCCACAATCTAACTATATCCTTCAGTTATAATACTGATTGGTGCTAGACACATCTGCAACCCAGTGAGTGAGTGAGTGAGTGAGTGAGTGAGTGAGTGAGTGAGTGAGTGAGTGAGTGAGTGAGTGAGTGAGTGAGTGAGTGAGTGAGTGAGTCTTTGAGTGAGTGAGTGAGTGAGGAGTGAGTGAGTGAGTGAGTGTGGTTTCACGCCGCTTTTAGCAATACCAGCAATACCAAGGCGGGGGACACAAACAGATAGAGATAGAGATTCAGTGAGTGAGTGAGTGAGTGGTTTCAAACACATTTGTCTTGTCACCTGTGAAATTCAATCAAAAGAGGTTCAAATTATTTACAGATAACATAAAAACATCTACACTGAAAACACAGATGGTTTCTACAAAGACACAACGACAAAACAAACAAACAAATGTATACTTCTTGGTTAAAGCTGAAAAGATTAGTAACAGACTTGCCTAAGTTTCATAACATCTTCATTTTATAACCAATTTGATTGGGTCATGAGGGACATTTAAATAAATATGAATATTTATCCAATTGTGGTGTAATTCAAAATATAACCAATGATCACTTAAGCAGTAATGGCTGTATCGGAGGCTTATTTGTCAATGCACCACAAAACTCAAGTTTAAAGTCTAAAAGCATAAATAAAACCTTTCAAAGGAAAGGATTTTGACTGAAACATCCTTTTATCTACGGCATACAGACATTCATTCAAATATATACATAAGACATCACTCACCATTGACATGTCTGTTTAGTTTGGTATCCTGGGCACTTAAACTACCTTCTCCCTTGTCGAAGTTAAACTACCTTCTCCCTCTTCAAAGTTAGCATGACAGACACATACTATCATATAATTCACATCGCAATCTACAGGCTCAATAACGTTTGAGAAAAATGTAAGGAATCCCATTCTAGAAGGCTCCCCTTTTTATTCCTCCGAAAATAGAATTCAGCATTCCATGTGCATCTAGAAGTGATGAGTATAAATCTAAGTCAAGTGGAGAAACAGCGTTCAGTTTGAAGTGTTCCACTGGCAGACAGGTGCATTATGGGTAATGTTATTACACGATCAGACACGAAAGGCGAGAAGTGAAACTAAACAGAATCACTGCACGTAGGAACCTGGGTGGAACCACAGATATCATTTTCTTGTAACTGGGAAACGTTTTTTTATCTGCAATAGCAAAAGTTGGAATGTAAAGTATTTGTGTAAAATAATCTCACTGTAAGATTTTTATTACATTGCTTGTGCATTGATTTTTTTTATTTCATATCTAAATGTTTGAAAAAATAAAGATTGAATGTAAAATATTCATCAAATATATGAATGTCAAATTGTCAAGCCTTTACTATTTCACAAAAACAAGTATCTAGCATAGTGTGCATTGTATTCAGTTTGTTTTATTTGGGTAAACAAACACCAAGTGTTAGAGACATCTTATCTCTTCATCATTTAAATCCCTGCCAAGATATGCTAAAAGCATAGTAAACGTATACCCTATAAAATCAATCATACTTTCAAAAGGAAAGCAGTTGTCACGTAAATAGTTTTTACATGTACAGTCATAAAAAATATAGCTGAATTAAGTCACTTTTTATATCCATATCAATAATTAAGGCTGTGATTTCAAATAAACATATGTCTACATACAAAACAGAACTTTGTATCATTTCATTGTTAAAATAAATGCAACCCCAATGTAAGCACACCTTAGATAAAACAAATGTCAAATAACCATTTATGACATTAAAATAATAAACAATAAAACATCAATTTTATGACAGTTTCCCCCAAATATTATCAAGATGTATCATTAACTCCCAGGTACTACCCTGCTTCCTGTTATTGGGATCATGGCATCAGTAACAGGTATCTCCAATTCAGCTTTGAAGTCTTACCTTTGCACTTAACGAGACAGGTACACTTGTTAGGACGTCATATGTACAGCCAGGTGTGTGAGGTGAGTGTACCTGTGCATGCCTGGGGCAGTTATATGGTTTTATGGCTGTATCCATGATCACTAACTTTAGAAAAAGGCAATGAATAATCTCGAAGATAAATCGTTCAATCATACGCCGTTTTTATGACAATACAGCTTATATTCATTGCCTGGGGATGTTTTTGCGAATTTCAAACACTTAAATGTAAATATTTTCAAGATAGTCTAGACATTTGAATTAAAATTTACATTTACTTATATATGTTCTCTTATATTTTAATGCAGACCTATTACAACTTAATAAGATAACACGTTATATTTCTTAGTGAGGTTATGACAATATTATTTTGCTTTAGTCTGCCTTCAAAGGACATTGAATCTTTATTAAAGAAAAATATTTGACACTTATTATATGCAGTTGTATTCAGGATAAATAGGTAATATTGCATTTTACAACCTTTTAAGCATGAAGTGCAGTAGTTTACAACCCTTTTATCAAACTTGATTGCCCTTACATCCTGTTCAAAAACCACAGCTGTTGTTTACACCCGCTTTAGTAAACTTTCCTTAAAATACTTTCCATAACAGATAATAATGAAGGTTTACAGGTACATAGGTGTTATATATCTACCTGTAACTTTCATCCCCCAACCCTTCATTATTATGTCTCTATATAATTGGTTAAGAAGTAAATATAGTATTTCTTTTACTCACAGCCAGGAGCCAGGTACACCATGAAGGTCTACAAGTATACATGTGTCTTATACCTACCTATACCCCCTCCCTCCCCAACAACCTTAATTTTTTTGTCTGTTTATAATTGTTTAAGAAGTAAATATCATATCTCTTTCACTCTTAAGTATAAAACAGGTACATGGCTAATGATGATTTACAGATATACAGGTGTTGAAAATCCACCTGTGATTTTTCTCCCCCCAATCCTTCATTTTCACTATAGGTACACATCAGCTACATGGCTAATGAAGGTTTAGTTATTCCCCCAAACTCTTTATTCTTTTATAATTCCATTTATAACTGGTTAAGAAGTAAATATCATATTTCCTTTACTCCAAAGTACATATGAAGCTAGCTTACAAATGTATACAGCTATACAGGTATACAGGTAAACAGGTATACAGTTATACAGTTATACAGGTATACAGGTATACAGTTATACAGGTTTTATACACCAGTTTGGATGACTTTTTATCAAAATATTTGTCAGTGTCAAATTCCATGTTTGTCATCACTTTGTCCAACAGGAGACACTTGTATATACACACTAGCAACACAACCACGTCCTTCACCTGACATATTTAAAAATCTTGAGTGGACTTGGATAAAGAGAGATCCACTATCTGCTAGACATCATCCACTTGGGGTTACTGAACTAGCCAATACATATTCTTAAACCTTACCTTGTTTACTCATGACATGTTATCAGATGTCATGTTACACGTTTACTCATGACAACCAAAAACATGACAGACTAGACAGGAAGGTCAATATGTTGTTTACACAACTGTCAGGCACCATTAAAAATATGGAAAGTCATTATACTTATGTGTAAAATTGACAATGCCTGCTGAGGGGTCTTAAAAAATGACTGACTGACTGACTGAGTTTGGTTTTACGCCGATTTTAGCAATATTCCAGCAACATCACGGCGGGGGACACCAGAAATGGGCTTCACACATTGTGCCCATGTGGGGATTCGAACCCGGGTCTTCGGCGTGACGAGCCAACGCTTTAACCATTAGGCTACCCCACCGCCCCCTTAAAAAATGAACACATAATGGATC